GATTGGAAGAAAAGGTATCCAATGTACTCAGTACTATTATGAAACCAATATGTAATCATCCATGCTTTCATATGAATGATAAAACACAACTATAGCCCAGAATGAAAGAAAGAAGTGGAGGAGGAGGGAAAGGGGTAGCTGGGAGAGGGAGGGTAATTGGTGAGACCTCACCTATGATGCATAATGCAAGGGAACATGTCAAACCTATTAAGAGTAGAGTATAAATGTCTTAACACAACAATTAAGTAAGTAAGGTGAAGGCTATGTTAACCAGTTTGATGTAAGCATTCCAAATTGTATATCAAATCAGCACATTGTACCTCATAAATGCATTAAAGTACAAAGTTATGATTTAGCTTTTAAAAAAAGACTTGTTTTGTGAACAAGTTGAATATATGGTTCATCTTAGAGAACGTTACATGTGTAGTTGAGGAGAATGAGTAATCTTCAGCTACTGGATGGAATGTTTTGTACATGTCTATGAGATTCATCAGTCCAGACTAAAATTTGAATCTGATCTTTAATTTTTGATTTTCTGTTTGGATAATATGTTCATTGCTGAAAAGTGATATGTTGATTTTTTCTTGCTATTTTTATCTTGCTATTTTACTCTCCCTTTAGATCTATTAAAATTTGCTTTAATTTTATTTAGCTGATTTGATATTTGGTACATATATATTTGCAATTTTTATTTCCTTTTGCTGAATTGTCCTCCGTACATTTTTCTTTTCTCTCTCTATAGTCTTTCACTTATAGTTTATTTTATTGGATCTAAGTATAGTTACTCTTGCACTTTTTTAGTTTCCCTTTGCATGCAATGTCTTTTTCATCCCTTTCACTTTCGGTCTATGTCATCCCTTTCACTTTCGGTCTATGTCTGCTCTATGCATGTGTGAAGAAGCAGTGTCTCTGGTGGGCAATATATAGTTGTTTCTTGTTTTTTTCATGTTTGTTTATTTGGTTTTTGTTTTTATCCTTTCAACCATTCTATGTTTTCATATAGGGGCAATTTAATCCATTTATGCTCAAGGTGATTTTTGATAGATAAGAACTGACTACTGTTGCTTTGTTAGTTGTTTTATAGGTTTTTTTGTAGTTCCTTTGTTCCTTTTTTCCTTTCTTGATATCTACCATTATGGTTGAGTGATTTTCTCTAATGGAATGTATATATCATTTAATTTTTTTAATTGTTTGTTTATCTACTACAGGTTTTTGTCTGGTGGTTATCATGAGGCTTTCAGAAAACACTATTTATAATAGAACATGTTAAGCTGATAACAAATTTGATCAAAAAAATTCTACCCCAAAATATCATTTTTGAAAATACTTTGTTTTCGTTTATTCCCCTATTTCTAGAGTGTATTTTTTTTTTTAATTGTTGGAGATTCATTGAGGGTATAAAGAACCAGGTTACACTGATTGAATTTGTTAGGTAAAGTCCCTCTTATAATTGTGTTCCATCCCCAAGAGTTGCATCAAATCCCGACTCCCCAACCCCCTTTCTTCTTCCTTCTCCCTGCACCCCCTTTCTCCCCGCTGTGTACTAGGTCATCGATTGACCTCATATCAGAATTTAGTACATAGGATTCTTGCTCCTTCACCTTGTGATGCTTTACTAAGAATAATGTGTTCCACTTCCATCCAGTTTAATACAAAAGATAAAAAGTCTCTATCTTTTTTAATGACAGAATAGTATTTATCTAAAGTATATTTTATGAGACCCTCATACATACATGAATAATTTTTTATTTCTAAAAATTAAAGGGGTTCAAATGTTTTTGTTACATAGATACCTTATGTAAGGCTTAGAGCAAGGCTTTTAGTGTGCCCATAACCAAAATAGTGTTCATTGTACCCAACTGGTAAGTTTTTATCCCTCAACCTCCTCCCACCCACCCTTCTTCTTTGTGCCTATCACTTAGCTCCAAATTACTACAGAGTACATGTGGTGTTTCTCCTTTCCTGAGATAATTTGTTTAGGATAATGCTCTCCATTCCATCCAAATTGCTCCAAAAGACATTACTTCATTCCTCTAATAGCTGAGTAGTATCCCCTGGTGTGGGTGTATGTGCATGCATGTGGGTATATTACATTTTCTTTATCTACTCATTGATGGACACATGGGTTTATTTCAGATTTTTGAAATTGTGAACTGTACTGCAACAAACATTCAAGTGCATGTGTCTTTTTGGCAAAATAACTGCTTATTCTTTGAGTAGATACCTAATAGTGAGATTAACTAATAGTGAGATACCAAATAGTAAGTCCACGTTTATTTCCTTAAGGAAGTTTCCATACTCTTTTCTGTAGAGGCTAGTTTGCAGTCCCATAAACAGTATGTAAACACTCCTATCTGTCTGTGGCCACACCAGTATCTAGTGTTTGTTTTGTTTTGTTTGTTTGAGTTTTTGATAATGGCCCTTCTCTCGGGGGTAAGGTGGTATCTCTATGTGGTTTTAATTTGCATTTCCGTGATGAATAGTGTTGAGCACTTTTTCTTTTTTCTTTTAGTCATTTGCCTATCTTCTTTTGGAAAATTTCTATTCGTGTCTTTTGCCCACTTTTTTAATGAAGTTGTTTGGGATCTTATTCTGGCTAATTGATTTGAGTTATTTTAGTGTTTTAAATAGAATCATCAAATGTGTTTATCATTATGGCCAGCAAATTGTGAGTTGACAATATGCTCCTTAATTCTTATCTTCCGAAGTAAGAATGAGCATTTTATATCCAGTCTATTTGACGTCTGAAAAACTACTGTACACGAGTTCTGTCATATCTTTTCCCAGAACACTGCAGGATCATGAAATAATTAAATTTGTCAAGAGGAAAAGGGAATCTGTACTTTTGATTATTCACAAGTTGGAGATAGTCAATTAGAAAATTATACGCATGCAACCAACACATTTGTAGTTTTGGGGGGGTTTTGTTTGTTTGTTTTGTTTTTTTGAGACAGAGCCTCAAGCTGTCACCCTGGATGGAGTGCCATGGCATCACAGCTCACAGAAACCTCTAAATCCTGAGCTCAAGCGAGTCTCCTGCCTCCACCTCCCAAGTAGCTGGGATTACAGGCACCACCACAACGCCCAGCTATTTTTTGGTTGCAGCTGCCATTGTTGTTTCGCGGGCCCAGGATGGATTCGAACCAGCCAGCTCAGGTGTACGTGGCTGGCGCCTTAGCCAGTTGAGCCACAGGCAGCGAGCCTACATTTGCAGTTTTATGTAATAGGTAACCTGTTTACCTCAATTATCTTCCCTATATGTCCTGGTTTCAAGGAAAAGTCTATTCCACTTAGATCATCATCATTTAGTTCCATATTCTCATCCACCTGGTAATTCTGTCTTCAGATTCACACAGCTCTGAATGATTACCACAGAATTAACATTATCAAATGCAAACCTTATCATCTCATTACTGTTTGTAAAACACCGGGTCACAGAAGTGCAAGAAATGAGGCTAAAATTTTAGATGGAAAGGAAGACCACTGGAACATTTATCTCTTCTTCCTGAACAACCTTTGATCTTTGTTCATGCTATGCCTTTTCTCTGACATCAGATTCCTGAGCATGTTTCTTTGGTTACAGCATCCCACATTCATGTGATGGTGACTTCTGGTCACCATTCAATACAGAGATTCTTCTGTTAGAACTCATATGGTAAGTCTTTGCATATGAGCATAAAAATAATTTTATTTTACCACCTTTGTTTGCACACACCGCTACATCTATGGTTCAAACTCCTCAGAGACAGTAGTCATGTGTTATTCAGAATTTAATCTTTAGTTTTTTTAATTATAATATGGCATGACATGTTTGTTGGAGAAATAAATGAATGGATGTTGACACTCTCTCTCTGTTGTTTGTCTACTAAGTTACATACTTCAAATGTCAGCTCAGATGCCACATTGGACAGACAACTGTCCCTAAATCTTTCTCATGTGGGAATACTATTTTTCCCACAGTCCCTTATGTGGTCTTATATCTTCCATATGCTACATGGTACTAATTATTTCAGAGACATACCACCCACTAGATACCTTCAGGTTTGGACCACTCAGAAAATGGTAGTCTTGAACAAAGATGGGCAGACAAGTAGATTTTCTTAGTAATGATTAGGCACATTGCAATGAGCATGATTTCCATGATATTATGTTACATTGTCTCTCAGAAAGCAAAAAATTATACAGGGGAGGGGAGAAAAGTCTGATATTTAACCCTTCATTTGTAAACAATTTCAAATGTACAGAAAATAATATTAAAAAGCTGCAATTAATACCTAAATACCCTTTACCTAGACTCACTTATTGTCCAATTGTAGTCCATTTGCTTCATTGCCTCTCTCTCTCCCTTTCTCTACCCCCCACTCTCTTTCTCCTCCTCTTTCTCTCTCATCAGTTGAACACCTTATGGGATTTTTTTCTCTAAATATTCTATTATGCACGTTCTTCTACAAAATTAAAGAGTGGTTATCAACTTCTGAAAATGTAACATCAATACAATAGTATAAGAATTTTGAGTGGACAGAGAATGTAAAACTGAAAAGCTTTTCCAGCACAGTGAAATCATTTCTAAAAGAGGAATAAACATGATATGAGGCAGCATGATAAGAGTCTAAGAAAATAACATTGGCATAAAATCCTAAACATCTGACATATAGAGAAAAGGAGACAAAATCATTAGTACTAAATTGTCTACTTTATAGTTTCTTGAAAAACAGATCCCACACTCAACATTTTCTTCAGAGCCCCCATGACATCCTTATTCCTAAAGCTGTAGATTAAAGGGTTTAGCACAGGAGTAAGGATGGTATAAAAGACAGATACCATCATATCTTTCTCAGGAGTGTGGTAAGAGCTAGGGAGCATGTAGGTATAGATGGCAGCCCCAAAGAAGAGGGTGACCACGGTCATGTGGGAGGAGCAGGTGGCAAAAGCCTTCTTCTGGCCCTCTGCTGAGTTCATCCTGTGGATGGTGAGAAGAATGAATGAATAGGAGCTTGAGATGATGGTCACAGGGATCAGGAGCATGAGCACACAGCACAGGTACATAAGAATCTCATAGAGTGAGGTGTCTGAGCAGGAGAGCTTCAGCACAGCAGGGACCTCACAGAAGAAGTGCTGAATCTCCCGGGACCTGCAGAAGGGGAAGGTCATGGTGACGGGAGTGAGCATAAAGCCATCTACTGAGCCCAGGAACCAGCAGCCAGAGGCCAGGAAGAGACACACCCTATGGTTCACGAGGACAGGGTAACGCAGAGGATGGCAGATGGCCACATAGCGGTCATAGGCCATGGCAGCTAGAAGGAAAAATTCTGAACCTACTAGTGTCAAGTAGAGGAACATCTGTATCCCACATTCAGGGGCTGAGATCTTATTCACACCCATGACCTGGTCCATGAGCATCTTGGGCACAGTGATGGAGATGTACACAATATCCATTAGAGATAACTGGCTGATAAAAAAGTACATGGGAGCATGGAGGCGGACATCAGAGCATATTAGAAGGATTAGGACAGCATTTCCAAAGAAGGCCATCAGGAAAACCACAAAAATGACCACACACAACATTGCCGGATATTTGGATTGACTGAAGAGTCCCATTAGGATAAAATCTGATCCTCCAGTCTGGTTGACCATCCAATTAGTATTGTCCATGGAGTTAATGTAAGCAGCCCTCTGAGCTGAATATGCAATAAGTGTTTACTTGTGTGTGCACCAGCGTGACTGCTAACTGCAGGAAATCCTGTGGGCTGGAGGATTTGGGAATTACAAATGATCTGTAATTTAAGAAATTGATGAAACAAACTAAAAATTCACAATTGTGCGAAATGAATTGGTAACTTATAGCCAGGTTGCCACAGTTTACAGTCATCAACTTTCTTGATGATAGTGTCATTTGTCCACCAACTTTTTAGAGGGATGGGTGGCTGTTCCTCTAAAAAGATTGAGCAATAACAGGTCTGTGATGCCCTTAGAGGTCCGGGGCTACACATGTGCTACATTGACTGGCTCAGTGTGTGCCTACCCTACACAGGTAGGCACGGGTAACCCATTGAACCTCATTCATGATGGGTATTAGAGATTGTAATTATTCCCCATGAATGAGGAAAAAAGAAAGAAAGAAAGAAAAATAAGATAGTGTCATTTGTCAACAAATACTGGAAATTTGCAGAATCTCTATCTTATGTTAACACAAAGATTAAACCATTGATAAAAGAGAAATAAAACTCATTATTTTATAAAGTTTCTGTCATAGAAGTAAGAACTTAATTAACCTCTCTGGTTTAAGAATACAACTGGAAACTTAAAAACATTTAGAGGTGTATCCTATATAAGAAAGATATAGTTAATAACTATATCATAAATTGGGGAAAAAGACCTATACTAAACATTTGAATCCCACTGCCCATACAATTAAGCTATACTATGAGACTCTGTGGTTGTGTGGAGCAAGCTTCACATTCTCACAAGCAGGGAAGAGTCCTCAGACAAGACCCCTTAAGGACCCAAGGAGCCTAGGGTAAGGATCCTGTGCTGCAGCTGGACTGTAGACACAGGTCCAGTGTCCCTTCTGTCTGCCATTTCTCTGTCTACTATACATAAAAGGAGGATAAAAATAATGTTTGATCTCAGGTGCATTGAGAATTAAATGATGTACAGTAATGGAAGTGTTTAGAATAATTCCAGTTAGAGATAAACAAACAATATCTGCAGAACCTACCTAAAAGACAGCTGCTACCACTTTGTCTTGTCATATATGTATTATTTCAGCTCTCCAGTTGCAGTAGCTATTTAAGAATTTGATTTCCAAAATGAAATGGGAAAAGATCTGCAAAATAACAAACAAATAAGCAGAGCATACAATCTACTTTTAAAAATAATTTTAATTTGATAAATTATTTATACAAATGTGTATAAAATTTAAATATATATGTGGGTATATATAAACACACATATGTAAGCATGAATAAATACACACATATATAAGCATGAATAAATACACACATATATAAGCATGAATAAATATACAGTGTCTTTCTCATTTTAATCCTGGTAACACGGGGCTTTATGGAGTACAACGGCCTTCTTTCTGTCTAGTACAACAGCCTCCAAATTCATCTCCTTAAAGCTCCCACCATTCATACTACATCTCAGGGAGGAAGAACCAAGGACATTACTGCTTACTAGACAAGGCTTTAGTTGTTTTTGCAGCCATAATCTGCTTTGTTGCCTGCCATGATCAATTATCCACGGAAAGTGAAACATATGAGTAAAAACTGAGCAACACTGAAACATCTCTGGCTTCAGTTCCTACTTCTTCCATCTTGCCACTGGAAGTCACCTCTGTGTCATCCACTAAAGACAAGTCAAAGAAAAACAAAGACTTTACCTCCTTCATGTTTACATGGATGGAACTGGAAAATGTTCTTCTTAGCAAAGTATCACAGGAATGGAAGAAAAAGTATCCCATGTACACAGCCCTTTTATGAAA